AGTGTTACGAGAAATTTAATTAGAAATATATTAATTAAATTTTCTTTTACAAAAATCATTAAATTTTCAAAATAAAAGAGATAAAATGTATAAATACAATATTTGAAAGATTAAAATTATTTAGTTAAAATTTGATAAATCAAAATCATATAATTACAATACTTAAAAAATTAAAATTATACAATTACAACATTTAAGAAATAAAAACACATTTAAACGTAATATTTAATATAAAAAATAATACCTAAATAATTGATTTGTTCACGTTTCAAAAATGCGAACCCAATATGTAAACTAATTAACATCAAAATTCAATTATTTAATTTTGGTTCGGCCTAAACTAAAAAAAAATCCAAACAAAATTAATTAGTTCAGTTAATGGAATGTACGTATATAATATCCACTTAAATCAATGAACGCAAACTTATCAAATGAAGTCTTCGTTTGATTGATTACATTACATTCCCTGAACGTGAAACCTCATCATGGAATCCACATTTTGAATGATAGGCATAGAAGTTAAGACAAATACCACCTTACTTGAATTTGCATCCATACATTGTAATAACTAATTAATAGAAAGAGAATATATTCAATTTTATCAAACAATTTTTACCAGGAAGAGAATCCTCAATTTGATCAACCATTTTTTTTTTAAATACAGTAAAACACTAAATACAAAGACTTCTCACGAAATATATTCAAATCTAAGTAATAAAATCTCATTTTAAGTAATTAAGTGTACGACTGATATTTTTATTTAATAAAAATATATTTTTTCTCACTGAATTAGTTCTTATATAAATAAAGTTGTAAGAAATATAACTATTTTTTTTATCAAATTAATTTCTATAAAGATAAAGTGATAATTTTAATTGCGATTTTATATAAAGCCATAAATCAAATACTGTTTTTAGTTTAAAAAAAAAACATGAATATCAATATATATATTTTCATATTTATGTCTTAAGAGCAACTCTAATGGGAGTTACTTGTCCCATGAAGTAACTCAAGTCTCGGTTTCTTTCCATTTGAGGACTTTAACATGGTAACATGAGTTGTTCGAAAAAGAGAGAGAGTTGTTTCCTCAAGCAACCGTTCCTTACCAGATTTTGGTAGGGGAAGAGATCAACGGAGCGGGGGTTTGACGGTGGAGGCGTGGGATTGGACGGCAATGGTTTGACAGGGGAGACGCGGAGTTTGACGACGGAGGTGCAGGGTTTGACGGCGAGGGCGGAGCCACGCGCAGAGGCTTTATTGAAGGCCTCGAGAACCTTACCGGAACAACACCATGGCCTCCCATAGCAGCTGGCAGCGCCTCCCACCAAGCACGGCACACGAACGATGCCTACGGAGGTTGGAGAGTGAGGGAAGGAAAAAAGGAAAAATGAGAGTGAGGGAATGGAGAGTGCGGGGAGGAAAAAGAAAAAATGAGAGAGGAAGAGAGTGACTGAGAAGAAAAAAGAGACGTTGGGATTAAAAATAATAATAATAAATAAATAAATAATTCTAAAAGTTGAATTTCTTAAAGTTTCTTATCATTGAAGTAAATTTGTATTAGAGTTACTTAATGTTGACATGACACACTGGAGATCACTTTTTTCATTTTTCAATGCATGAAACAATTCAAATGAGTTGTTTCCATTAGAGATGCCTTAAGATCCTGTTTGAACACATATATTTGTGTATGTTTCACTTTCATAATTGCATACCTTCGATGATTTGTCTTTTATTTCTCATATTACACACACTAATATTATAATTAACTAAAAAGAATTCTTAAATTGTGTTTAGACGATAAAATTTAAATATTTGAGATGTTTGAAATTATAATCATTTTTATTTAAATTTTATTTATTTTATAATTAATTATGATAAAATAATTTGATTTAAATTTTTTAAATTTTAAATATTTAATTTAAAAAATGCAATTTAATTTACGTTTTATGCAAAAAAAAGGAGTATATATTTGAGAATTGTAAATTTTAACATTGTTTTTTTATCGAAAATAAATATTAGTTAAAAAATTTAAATATTTAATAATTTTAAAATTTTACAATAGATAATACTTACTAATTTAAAAATAATTATAAATATTAATAAATATTGTTAAATTTTATGTCAATAATAATAGATAAACAAGAAAAGAGAGAATAAGAAGATGAGAAAAATGACGACATATGAAAAAAGAGATAGAAAGAGAGAGAGATAGAAGAAAGAAGACATAAAAAGAGAGTAGGACAAGAGAGGAGATTGAGAAGAGGAAAAGAATACAGAAAGAAAAAAATAACAAATAAATAAAAATATACACAAAATCTCACTTATGTAAATGAGATTATTAGATGAGTGTATTATAAGTCTTATAAAATCTATTTTTCAAAAAAATTATCTATTGGAATTTTTTTTAATACCATAAAACTTTTTTAAAGTCTTAGTTGATTAATAAAATACAGTGAATTTTTTTTATTATAAATATCACTAAATTTTAACATTTAAAAAAAAAATTGATTGAATAAGGCAACACTTTTTAAATATCACATGGTACATATCTTGAGTACCACGGAATTAGTTTTTTCACCTAGTAGGCTGGTGATAAATGTTATAAAATAAAATAAAATAAAAAAAATCCTCTAATGAATACACATTATGTGTTTTGCCACGTTGGAAATATTTTTGGGGTCCCAGTAATTGTGCCAAACTATGGGCTATTGCTCCGGTGCCCTCTTATTTGAAGGGGTTTTGGTGCCCCTCAGTACAAAAGTTGGGTTTTTAAGGGCAATAAGGTAAATTGATAGCCTTCGGACAATTTATCAATTTATCTTATTGCCCCTAAAAACCCAACTTTTATACTGAGGGGCACCAAAACCCCTTCAAATAAGAGGGCACCGCAACAATCCCCCAAACTATGGTGCAACTTGTATTATACCAGCACTTGTGTTGAATCATATCAATTAATTGGGTCTTTGAACTGACGCAACGCAATCAACCTCATTCAAAATGATAGGGACCAACCAAAAGCCATTTATGCCTTTCCTTGTGCTAAACACTAAATATATACCCTTTCAAGTCCAAACAAAATTCCCATTTCTTTTTTTAATTTCTTTCCTATATTGACAATCAAAGAATCTTGTTTTATTTCTTCACATCCCACCAAATTTTTTGTTTATCTTAAATATTTGCAAATCAAATACCATATTTTAAGCATTTTACATTTTAAGAAGGCCAAGAAAAACAATAGTAAATTAAGGTGACGTGCTCTTGGGGACTAAATATAAAAATATCTGAGTCATATCTACCCATGAGTTAATGCAATTAAGTCCCTCGTTATTTATGAACTATATATCAGCCCACAGATGCAATGTAACCAGGAACCACTTTTCCAGCACCTTGTTTTAGTTAGTTCCCTGTTTTTCTCTGCCCTAGTTGTTTGAAACCAAACTACCTATCATAACTCTGAATATCTAAACTTTCCTTTATTGCAAGCAAATTCAACTACAAGCAGTAGGATAGCCAATCCAACCACCACCTCAGTTAACCTTTTTTATCATATGCTCTTCAACTGTTTATAGGTTTAACTGAAGACAACAGAAATACCAATATCAATTCACCCAATGGTTTGTGGTCTCTTTTCACCAATGAGAACTCGATACAACCCCACTGAACCACCACTTGATTTAACTCGTCATATATATGTATCACATTCTATATCATTTCTTTTCTTATTCAAAATTAAATAGTGATTATAGCATCATTTAGCTTTAGGTAACCAACAAAGTTACCCCCAAAGCCAAACATTAGAAAACAAAAGAAAAATGTTAACAGATATCTCTAAGCACTAATTATGGAATTATAAAGTTTTTATTCAAATTGTAACAACTTATTCTCATGTAATTTTAATATAGTTTTCAGACTAATATCTGTTAATATGATCACTATTTTTCCCACGTTTTTTATTCATTAAACTCAAAGATCTTATTTAAAAAAATTAAGTTTAATACTACACCAATCAATGACTTTTGTTGGTAAGTGTCGATTCTTTAATTATATTCCATGTCAACAAGACCCAAAAACAAAAAACAAGAAAAATAGGTGGAAATTGAACAAACATATGACATCTTGTCTCTTCAGCTATTTTCCCTTGCGTGTGCTCTTTTTTTCTCTCAATATTGGTTGGTGCGACGCAGAAATATCCCTATAAGCCTAAGTAAGCTTGTTTAGACTTTAGACTTTATTTTCATGTCCACAGTATTTTGTCTAATCTAATTAGGCAAACCCAAAACGCAGGGGAATAGTTCACATTTCAAAACTTCAGTGCTCTCACCAGTATCATTCTTTTATTAATTAGCCATTGCATGAGCACTTTCTATCTATACTTGTACATCACAAGGGGCATACACGTAATCAACCATTCATGACTCATCAATACCATGTTACTTCAATTCTCAAAATCCATATTTACATATAAAAAACCCCATCTCACTTTTTACATGACTTGTGTGGTATAAAAACCAATGTGTTTTAATGTATTTACTTTAAATCATTATATCGTATAAAAAGTGGTATTGGGAAGTCGAAGTATTTTTTTTTTTTTTTTTTTTTTATGTGCACATATCAGCACTGTATGGGTCCATGACTCTAATTAACGTGGCTTCCCTCAGCCTATAAATGCAAGTCTATCAGCATCATTTCCAAGCAAAATACATTTTAGAGCATTCTTATCCTCTCAATTTGAAATGTCTATTACCAACACTTCTCTCACTATGACCAACTGGTTTTCTGGAATGACAAAAACAGTAACAAGGTGTAAGCAACTTTTCTCTCTGTTTGCCGTTATTGGCGGTTCTGTAGCTGAGCTATTCATGAAAGCTATGGATAGAGTTCTTTTTGCTGCATTCACTTGCATTCTGGCACTAGGTAAATTCATGCATCTCCTTCCTCTTTGTTGTTACCATTCTCATGAATTTGGCTTTGTCCTGAGAAATCACTAGTTCTCTAAACATTGCTATTGTTATACAATGTTATGCATCTCATAAGGCTTGTAAAAAACCTGGCTTCATGTCCCAAAGTTACTCTAACTTGTGGTAAACAGATTAAGAGTTTGTTTAGATATGAATTTATAAGTGTTTTTGAGTGTTTCTTTATTAATTTTTTTATTTTTATTTTCAAATGTGTTTCTAACTTATATTTCAAGAGAAAGGAGGAAAAAAGAAGAAAAGTGTGAGGAAATAAGATAAAATAGTGTTTGTCATTAACCTTTAATATGTGATGAACTTTGACATATGAGCAATGTTTGGTGTTGGTGCAGGAGGGTCAATAGTAGGATCAATTGCAGGAGGCATCAAAGGGCAGACCACAGAAGCTGGTTTTCTTGATGGAGCTGGCAAAGGAGCAATAACAGGAGCCATTGCATCCTTGGAATTGATCAATTTTGCTTCTCTTGATGAGCCATTGTCCAAGGTAATGTTTCTAGTTCCATACCCTGGCAATAGAAAGTTAAATGCTTCATTACTTTTCCAAGGCCCTATTATCTCACTAGTAGCTGGTAGCTACAACCTTACTACCGGTCCCTACCCTAGTCCAAGGGCAATGTGTTGTTCTCACTCACCTTTTAAGTTTTGGTGTGGAACTGCAGGTTGCCCTGTTGAGAAGTTTACTAAATGGGAAAGTCTTTATGGAATGGATATGTCCAGCTGTTGCACAACTCTACCAGTTGCATGCAACTGTAAGTATGAAACTATGAATATATACATTTATCTTTAATGTTATGTCCTTACATAATGTCTTCATTTGGTAAGAGGATTAGCAGGACTAGGAGGAAGGTGTTTTGGTAATTATTATGAACATGTAAAAGTTAAGTAAATGTGTAATTAGTGGTGTGTGGACCATAGCTTGCAATTAGAATTGTAACCACAGTTGGTGAAAGTGAAACTCATTGGTTTCAGATTAGCACGCTGGAAACAATTTTCGAAGAAGTATCAGATATTTATGATATCAGGGGACTCAGAGGGATACCCCAGAATGTAATTATGAAGCTTCCTTTTCAGCCATTCAACTCTAACAAAATGTTGAAATCATACAATACGTCTTGCTGCTCAATTTGCTACCAGGTGAGAAACATTCACTGTTTTCAACATCAATACAATAATTTATTATTATTTCTGATGCTTTATAATAATTATTTTAGGTTGATTTACATACAGTGAAAAAAGTAATAAAATTTTCTATTTTTTACAAAATGATTTTGATATTTTTTATTATACCTTTTTTCATTAATAAAGTGACAATTAATATTTTCTTAAGACTTAAAAGTTGCTTAATGATAAAACTTAAGAACACTTCTTTAGGTCTGTTTGGTATTATTTTTTGATCAAAATTTAAATTTTACCTCGTTAATATGTATTTATATTTAATATAGATCTTGGTAATATATATTTATACATATTATCAACGTAAAATTTTAATTTGAATTGAAGTGGGACACCAATAAATTAATCTCATAGAACTAAACTAACCATATCTTCTTTACATTTTGATTTGCAGGATTTTGAGGATGGAGAATTGGTGAGGATACTTCCAAAATGTAGCCACCATTTTCATTTAGAATGCATAGACAAGTGGCTTGTCCAACAAGGATCATGCCCAATGTGCAGAACTTATGTTCCAGACCACATTCGTAATTAATGGTTTTTTTTTTGTTGTAAAGTAGGTTGAGCATGTTGATGACAAAAGAGAAAGTAGGTTGAGCTTCTGTCATGTATTAAATTTGTATATAATCTATTCGAGTTAGTGTCAAATTAGCGCACGTTAATAATGATTATTTTATTTTTTATAAAGTAGTTAATTACTCAGCTTATCACGTTAATGTTTTAAAATAATTTATATAGTAAAATCTAAAAAGATACCATATATACAAGTCTATCCTAAACAGTTTTAGATATGTTTTGTATCGGTAGGAGTTGATCCACGCTTAAGCAAGGTCAGAGGTTCGAATCCTGCCTTGTGTATGCAGCCGCGTTAAATCTTGGGACCAGCTATCCCATCCTTTGAGGTGCCTCCCTCGTAGCGAGAAAATTAGTCACTGCTGTCGGCGGTGGATACTCCAGGGACGAACCAAAAAAAAAAAAGATCTATTTTGTATGACTGTATGAGAATGGATCTTCTCATGTATTAGCAGGGACAAATCCAGCCATCTACAGAAGGGAGCCAATTTTTTTTTTAATTATTTAAATATATTTAATAAATAGTATTTTTTTTATAAAAATATTTACTAATTTTATATATAAAATTAAAAATAATATTATATTCAATGATTAAAAGAAATATGTTTTAATTTGTTAAAAAATATTTTGCTAAAATTTCTACATATTATAATTTATACTAACCTTTTCTCTTTCAAACTTTTAAAAATTCTTTAATTTCACAAAATAATTAAATTATATTAAAGAGCATGAGGGGGAAGGTCACGCCCCCAAGTTGTCCACCTAATGGTGTCCTCGAGCATGGGTTGGTGACTAGAGTCCCATAGTCGAAGGAACACCCCAAAAATATTATTTAGTTTATATAATATAAAAAAATAAAAAAAATTATATAATTAAATTATATAAATCCTAAACCTTAAATCCTTTGAGAAAATAAATTAATTACAAAAAAATTATCCAAACAAAGGTCATTCATGCGTCCACCCTTCAATCCTTCCATGTTTATTAGCTTATAAATTTTGAGTAAATCATTATTTTGGTTTTTAAGTATTATTTTTCTTTTAAATAGTTCTTAAAATATTGAAATCATTTCATTTGTTATTTTAAAAACTATTTAAAAAAGATATAAATACTTTAAAAGCAAAATGTCTTAACCTATGTTCGTATCACGTAACCTGCGATAAAAGAGCCAGTTCACAAACTAAGATTACAAAATATATAAATATAAATTAACTTAAAAAATAACAATTTAAACAATTGTAACTTCTTTTTTTTTTAATTATGCTCAAAATTCTTTCCAAAACTGAGATAGTTGGACAAAATTCTTATGTATGACCCCTGTTAACATCTTTGTAATTCATGTAGATAAAAAATAAATAAAAATACACCAATCGATTCATGCACTTGATTAATAGTGCAGTAACTTTTTAACTATATTAAATTTTAACATTGACATATAATTAAATACTGCATAGAACTTATTTTTACAATTGTGTTATCATATCTTCAAAAATAAATAAATAAATAAATAAATAAATATATATATATATATATATATATTGTTTTGCATTTATACTAATTTTTTGTAATTATATCGAGGAAAAAATCTGCCCCTCTTTTTTTTTTTTTTTTTAAATTCTTATGTATGACCCCTGTTAACATCTTTGTAATTCATGTAGATAAAAAATAAATAAAAATACACCAATCGATTCATGCACTTGATTAATAGTGCAGTAACTTTTTAACTATATTAAATTTTAACATTGACATATAATTAAATACTGCATAGAACTTATTTTTACAATTGTGTTATCATATCTTCAAAAATAAATAAATAAATAAATAAATAAATATATATATATATATATATATATTGTTTTGCATTTATACTAATTTTTTGTAATTATATCGAGGAAAAAATCTGCCCCTCTTTTTTTTTTTTTTTTTTACAAATATCTACCCCTCTTTTAAGAAACATAATTTCCCATTTATTCTACATAATTTCACTGGAGGTTTTATCTTTCTTTCATTAAATGTAAAAACAATAAATCTCATTATCGTATACTAAGTTTAAATGTAATTTTATTTTAGTTATTTCAATTTTTTATTATTTAAAATTTTCATAAAGTTAATTTTGTTAAATGGTCTTTATTATTATTTAATGATTATGTGACATTACTATTTGTACTCACGTTATCATTTGACAATAACAAAATTTGGTCGATATATCTACTTAAAAAAATTCTTTGATATTAGAAATTTATCTAATGCAAAATTGATCCAAGCTTTTTTGGTGTCCTAAACGAAATGAAAAAAATAATGTATTCATAAATATTTAAATATTATTTATGAATCCAACTCTCAAATTATAAGTGTAAATATACGAATAGTTAAACATAGTTGTATGAGAAATGACTAAATGTGTGGTATATTTGTATGAGATTATGAGTTATTGTTATAAACCATTTATACAACAAAAAATGGATTAATTATTGTGACACATTATAATGAAGTTCACGACGGAGAGACAGAAATTCATAATTTGATTTTAAGATTTCATTGAAGTAAAATGGTCCATGTTTTAAAAAAACAAAAAATAAATAAATAAAAAAAATCAAATAGATTTGAAATAAAGGAAAAAAAATAAAATAACTCTTATTTATTATTTTACGTTAACACTTATGAAAGTTCACACTAAAAAAAAATAATAACATATCATATTTTTTTCTTTTCATGTAATATTATTATCGATTTATTTTTTTAAAATCATTGGTAAACTTTTGTCGACTAGTGGAAAATTGATTATTAATTAATTGTCCATAATTATTTTAATTTCTCTAATATATTTTTAATAATTTAATTATATAATTTTTTATATTATATAAGAAATAATATTATTTGTGCTTTTTGACAATGAGACCTTGGACAATCATCCCATTAGGTCATACTTAAGGCTATCTCTGCTCTAGTAACCCTAAGTTCAGTAAATAAAATTTTGAGCCAAACTAAACACCACTAAGTTTTGATTAATCACTAAATGGATTGTGATACATGATCTAAGTGTTATTAACTTCTTACTCAATAGTTTTGATCTTCTATCTATCATGTTTACTCATGAGAAATAATAACAATTTTTTTCAAACATTTAAAAATATTAAAAAAATCAAAATAATTGTTTATCTTGTGCATTATGCAACTAAAATACTAATGATCTTATTTGCGATGACGCTGAGTTTTTAATTTTTAATATTTAAATTTTTCTACGTTCCATTCGAATATTTGAAAATATTTATGATCTTGTTTTTTTTATTTTTTTTGAAAGGGACAAATTGAGTTTATTTCATTAATAATAATAGAGGCAATATAAGGTGAAATTAAATTAAAATAATGGGTACTAGCGTATGATCTTGTCGTCCTAACTAAAAAATAGATAACATGATTTACTTGTCTCTTAATGAACCTAACCTTAAAATTTTGGTGAATGGTAAGTAGTGACCGACCTTTGTAAATGAGAAGATTATGTTCAAAAACTTACGATCTTGTTTGAATTATAATTATAATTAAAATAGTTTTATATTATCGTCCAATTATAGATAATCATTTATGTAAATTTGTTAATTTTTACATAAACACTTTATAAATTATATTAATTGAAAAATTTTCCTTGTTTATAATGTAAATTTTTTACACCGACGAATATCTTTTTGTCCATAATAAATTTCATATAACCATAGCATAATTATGACTTATGAAATAAAGGGATGACTCGTTTTTTTTTCCCAACACCGATGACAACATCAATATGGGCCGAGAGCCAAGAGAGCCCAGCCCACGACCTCTGCGAGCCCAGCCATTTGAAGGAACAAAAATGGGAAAAAGTGTTTGAAACAAGGGTAGTTCTGGAAGAGTGAAATGAAGATTGCAGAGACCCCAAAAACAAAGACAAGGTTGTGTTGAAGGATTGAAGAGTGTGAGAGAGAAGCAGAGTGAGAGACCTAGAAATGGCATCGTGGTGCAGTGCTCGGTGCTTCCATATTCCGGCGATGGATGCCGGCGCTTTCCGCAGCCGCGCCTCATTGGCCGCCGGCGTAGGGTGCTTGTCGGTGGCCGGCACCTCCTTCTGGCGCTCCTCCTCCTCACCGAAGCGCTCTTTGCCGTTCACATGCTTGAGCATTTCTTCCGATACTCGTAAAATTTCCTCTCAATATTTCACCTTTTTTATTTTAATTTTTTGGTTGTAATGGTGACCTTTATTGTTAATATTTTGTAATGACAAAGTTAATTGAATGATTGTAGGTATTAAGGAAAGTGTTCAAACCGAAGGGGCACCAGCGGCTTTGGGACCGTATTCTCAAGCAATCAAATCCAACAACCTTCTTTTTGTGTCTGGTGTTCTTGGCCTTGTTCCCGAGGTTTGTTGTCTTCAACTCCTTTTCCAATTTACGTTTGCATTTATGATGTGATTGTTGATGATGTTTGTGTGTGTTTTGCTCTTCAATGCAGACGGGGAAGTTCGTATCTGATAATGTTGAAGATCAAACTGAACAGGTACATTGAGAGCTTAGCAATTGGAACATTGCAACTGCTTTCTTGCATTTCTCATGGCTTGCTGCATAGGAGCTTCACTTTGTTGTGGTTCCTATGCTCATGTCATGGATTATGCTCATTTTGTCTCGGTAATGTATGATAGTTGCGTGGTTCTATGACTTGGTTTCCTGTTATAGTGTTCTTGCACTTGACTTGACTTGTGCTTTCTAGAGAGGCTCGCTCCCAATGTCCAGTAGTTTGGTGGAATTTAAGTTTTAGAGTTTGTTTGGATAGACTTCTCTAAAAACACTTGGGGCCTGTTTGGGTAAATTTCTTCGTAAGCACTTTTAGGAGAGAAAAATAGGAAGAGAAAATGAAATGATTTTTTTCTTAAGTTAAAATTAACTTGTGCATAAGTTATTTTGTAGAAACTCTATCCAATTTACTTTTCCAAAATCATATATTCCTATTTTTAACTCTTGCATAAGCCAATTTTATATCATGGAGAAGTTTATTTCATTTTTCATTTTTCCTTCCTATGTTTCTCTCCTAAAAGTACTTCTAGGAAATTATCCAAACAGGTACTTATTGAGAAAAAATTACGAAGGAAAAAATAAAATTAGTTCCTCTATAAGCTAATTTGTAGAAACTTTCTAATATTAGTTTTTCTAAAAACTTATTTTTAATTTATACTTAAGCTAATTTTAATTTATAAAGAATTTATTTTTATTTTTCTCTCTATATTTTCTTCCTATAAGTGCTTTTAGAGAAATTTATTCAAACAGACAATAATATTGGGGTATTTCCGATCTACTCTTGTGTAAAGGTTCTTAATGATTCAAAATAAAGGCCAAAAATGAGAAAGCTTACCACCTAAACATGTGAGACTGGGTTATCATACTTGCATATACATGGTTATCAATCTCAAGTGATAACTCGTGATAACTATTGAGTTTACGAGATTGGTCAGTCCCACCTGTACAACCCGGAAGTAAACTCGTTTTTGAGCAATCTCGCCCAATCTCGAGCAATCTCGTCCCCTTTGTTGCTAAAATTAAAAATTGGTATTTTTTTTAGTTTTTTATTTGTTATTTTAAGAATTTGTGTTTTGTGTGAAATTTTGTATAATTTGCTACTAAATATTGCTACTTTAATATTGTAATTTGCTATTTTATTTTAATATGGAATTGAAATGTTGAGTTATTATGTAATTTATAAGCATTATAACATATTATTATATTAAGTAAACTCTAATGAGTTTATGATTCGAGTTTATGAGGTCTTAATGAGATAACATAAACTCTTGAGATCGACAACCTTGTGCATATATATTTTTAAGGAAAATAACTGATTTCTATCTTTTGAGGAAAAATAGGAAACAACTTTTTAGTGGTCTAGAGATGCTAGTGAATCCAACTAACTTGAGACCATGGATGTTTGAAAGCAGATTTTGCACTTGGGTGGGGGGGCTTGAAATTTAGCTGTCAAGGAGTTAACTTTGGCAATTTCCAATGAAATGATGGTGCCATGGACGATATTCTTTTATGCATGTCTTTTTTGTTTTTTCCCTGCAGAAGCTGAGAATTGATATATGATCTATTTTCCCTTAAGGCTTACCTTCTTTGAATGACATTGTTGTATTGTATGCTTGTAAATCCTTCTCTCTCTTCCCTGAAGCACATGATGGTAAGTGGTAACATTTTATCGATGATGCAAGGCCCTTATTGATTTTGTTTCTGATAATTGAGATGATTACCCATTGTAGCTTCTCAAAAACATGGGGGAAATCCTTAAAGCTGGTGGTGCCAGCTACTCATCAGTTGTCAAGACAACAATTATGTACGAATTTCTCACTCTTCCATAGTTGGGATTTATTGTGTTTCAGCAAGATTACTAGTTTTTGCGCTTTTATTTCCTGCAGGTTGGCTGACTTGAAGGACTTTAAGAAGGTCAATGAGATATATGCAAAATGTGAGTTCTGTGGTAGTGATAGAAATAATTAGCCATCCATTTCATATAGCAGTTCATGAAAGTTCTGTAATGACAAACTGGTTAACTGTGCTAATTACTAATGAATTTCACTTCTGATGATTTATATTGTGCTGTAAGAATTGATTGATCCTTCTGCATTTGTGGGGCAAGCTGTTAGCGTGTAGGTAACATTCATGTACCATGGCTGACCACTAACCAGCTTTTAGCTTTAAAAAACCTTCATGTTTTTTTTATGTTTGAAGTCTTGAATATTCATCTGTTAGCTTGTCATAGGTGATGGGTGATAGGTAATAGGTTATGTTTTCATATTTAATACTAGTATATGCTAAGGGTGCTTACTAGATTGATGCAAGAGAGTCCTATAGTTCCATGCTGAAAATTAAGGTATTATTTATTTCTCACCAATGCCTTTAATTACTTAAATATAATTTTAATTTACCTGCATTCCAATGGTTTCAGACTTCCCTTCACCGTTCCCTGCTCGTTCAACTTATCAAGTAGCTGCCTTGCCATTGGATGCCAAGATCGAAATTGAGTGCATAGCGACTCTATAAGCAGCATCAATTGTAATAGTATATTCGACTCCTTCAAGCAGCAGGTTAATAACGCAGGAAGGGACATTTCTTAGAAATGGAGTTTTACTTTGTTTTGTTCTTTGAATAATAGTGCTCTTGTGACATTTACCCTAGTATTCTGACGAGGTTTCTAATCCTCGGATTCTCTCGAAGATTATGCGGCCATCAAGAGTTTAAGAAGCTTAGTCAGTGAAAATGTTCTTGTTTGTAGCTATTGTGACATTTTATTACGTAAGACGGACCATGAATGAAGTCAAATTTGCTTTTATGGAATAAGATCATTTTTAATATAATTCTTTTGCTCAGACTCACATATTTTTTTTTTTCTAAGGATTATTTTTGGATGTTTCATTGAGAAGTTGCAGTTGTCAATTTTGATGATGAGAAAGTACAAGCAAGGTAAAAGTGAAATTTTATGTAGGCGACAGTCTGAGTAGAATTGTATAATATTCGAATAATAAGCGATTTAATAGAATTGAAAAGGTGAATAATTTAATTATGTTAGATTCTTTGAGCATTGTAATGTTTTCATTGCACTTCAAGAGCCCAAAACAACATTAGTTGGTAAGCCCTTGTAAAATATAATATGTATGCCTACGGGGTGTAAATAGGTTGAACTATTTGTGGACCATCATTCAGCCTCAATTGATTCAATGTTTATTCAAACTTGTTTATTTAACTAAATAAATTCATTTATATTTGAGATTGAAGTCAATAATTCAAATTAGTGAATTTAGATTTTACAAGTTCAATACTAGTGGTTTGTTAATAGTTCAATTATATATACATGCACATATATAACTCTTTCAATATATCATATTTATCTTTACTTTTAAATTGTATTTCAATGTTTTTTATAAAGAAATTATAAATGGTTTTAAAAAATTTATTACAATATAGATTTTAAAAAAAAATATTGAAATTCAATTTGAAAATAAAGATGAAATTGATAAATAGATATATAAAAAAAAACTAAGCATGTTTTTGCTATAGAAAAAATTCTAAAAATATTTTTATTAGAAAATAAATCTCATAAATATTCTCCTTCTCTTCTAAAATAATTATAGAGTAGATGAACTTTATTTCCTAACTACAAGTTAATTATGTGTGTAAATAGGTATAGGTAACTTATAAATTTAAACTCACTCAAATCGATCCAATAAGTTTCGATAATTTTTTTTTATCATGTCAGACCTGATTTCAGTCAATCAAAATCCAACATTGTATTTTTTGGTTAATAACATTGTAACAACAAATATATTTATTTTAAATTTTATTTTATATTAATATTGTTGATAACAAATGTAACATATTAATAAAATTATTTTAGAATTTAGTTTGTATTGTTATTTATTTTATAAATTAATAATATTGTATTTGTAACAGGATATCAAACAATTTATATTTATTATAAAATATTTAAATTTTTATAAAAATAAATAAATTTAATTATATTGATACAATTGAATCAATTTAATATAACTCGTTTTAGATTGGATTGAAATTGGTTAAACTTAAAAATAAAAAAATACAAACTCAACTCAACCTAACCCATAAATTTTTTATTGAGGTGTGTAATGAATTTATTCAAATATGATTTAATGAGACTCGTTTACACTCCTAAAGTTAACATATTATATATTGATTATGATTCATTAATAATTTGTTTTTCCGATTCAATATTTCTTAATTTTTGCGCAGTTATGATTTTGTTTTAATAATTTCCTTAATTTCTAGTGTCAACAACTCTCGCTTCCTTCACAAAGGTTATGAATACAATCGTGAGATATTTATTATCTGTAACTTGTTTTCATTGATATAGGTGAAAAAATAAATGTAGCTTTTGTAAAATGAAATGAGAACTTTTATAAATTAATTTAATTTATAAAAAAAAAAGAACTTATTTCAGTTTACAAAATAGAACATAACAAAGAGAGAATTCAAAGTTGAAAGATTCAATAATTAAAACTAAGGACAAACATTTGCTACTTTGCATCCTCAAAGGCTCAGATTGAATTTTTTTGCAACAAAGGCTTGGATTCTTACGTGCAGGGAAGGATTGAGACTTTAGGTTATATACATTATACACGAATATCTATTCTATTCTATTCTATTCTATTCGGATCAATGTGCTTCTTTTTCCGCTTTTTCAAGAATAAAGGTAAAACGCATCTTAACTTTTATTCCACAACACATTAATACTTGATCCTTAAGTATCAGATATATTTATGCATAACTTATCATTCATTTTTTAATCAACCATTATGATTTGTTCTCTAAAGTGCACATTTTACTTTGAAAAATTTAAATTTGTCAACTTATTTTTTAATAATTTTTTAAATAAATACTTCTAATTAAGAGTTGAAAAAATTGAATCAACTTTCTTCTGTGAGTTGACATCGATTTATGTATTTCAAGTTTTAAAGGAGATATATAAAAGATTTTATAATAACGTGCATTTTAACATGTAAAAAATATTTTATCTTATTATTTTCTCGTTAAAATTTTTTAAAGTTTTCAGTTTTTAAGTTCTTAGTTTAAAATCTATTTGATTAAACTTTTATAAAAACATTTTTAATAAAGAAAACTAGAAAGAAAAAATTAAATAAATTATTTTATAATACGCATCGTAAATTATTATTTTATAATAAGCATCGCAAAACTTATAAGCATCGTTAATTAGGTAATATTTCTTTAAATTTACTTTTTTTTATATAAAATACATATGAAGAAATTAAAATGATAATTCTTACAACTACTTATTAATTATTTAAATTTGTTTTAAAAAGGTCTATATATTAAATAGTTGTATTTTTAATTCAATAATCCCCATTTTAATTTATGAATATTTGTCTAGTATATGGTAGTTTCCTTGTTTCATCTAACCAGTCTCAATTTACTGGTGAGACTTCAAAATTTTGTTCCATCCCAAAAAAAAAACTTCAAAATTTTGTCATTTTGAATAAATTTTAACTAACACTTTTTCTTTATTATAATGACTGTAATTTTAAATTTTTGTATATTTATTAAAGATAATAATAATGTTAGAATATAAACAAATCTCACATCAATAAAATAAAAAATAAAAAAAATTTATAAAATACAAGTATATTTCAATGAAAGAGAGGTCTTTTGAATAATTATCCAAAAATAAAATAAAATCATGAAGACTTAATCTAAATTGAACAATATCTGTTGAATCTTATAAATATAACTCTTATTAAATATCTTTTCAGATAAATATTATAAAAATAATCCCATAAAAAATTAAAAAAAAAATATATATATAATTTTATAAAATAATTCGTTTGATTAATAAATATATTATTTTATTTATAAAAATTAAATATATTATAAAGAAATAATTTATAATTAAAATGAAAATATAATTCAGATATTTTTCAAATATTAAATTATAGTAATTAACTTGTTATAAAAGGAGTAATAAAAAATTGAATATGAATTTATGTCAATGTACAGGACCATTAAACTCATGCGTTAAACTAAAAAAATATTAATAACCTAAAAAATGAATAATTTTAAAATTAAATAAGTTTGTTTTGAGAAAAAAAAAAAAAAGAATAATGAAAATATTAAAGGAGTTAATAGTTAGAATTATAGGGAAGAGAAAATAAAAAAGAAAGATGGTGAATTGGCGATGGAAGAGAGTGGGGCATGGCATGGATGGAGGAAAAGGACGGTGGCATCTGAAAACGGTAGTTACCTTACCTCACCTCACCTCTCAATCTCAACAACCTAATTCCTATTCTTTCTTTCTTCTCTCCCTCAGTATTCTTCCTATTTCTCTTTCTTCTTCTTCTCTCCTTCCACCTTCCATTCTTATATTAATTAATCAATTCTAGGTTTTCTATTTTTCGAGTTCGCATTTTTTTTATTTTAGATTTTGAGTATTGTTTGTGTGCGATTGATTTTCAGGCTGGTAGGTGTGTGCAATCTTCATCATGGAAGGTGTTATTCTGAGAAGAGTTATTCCGTCGGATAACAGTTGCCTCTTCAATGCGGTTGGGTAAGCAAACCAATGGAAATAATGCAACCGCTTTTTTTTTTTTTTTATGCTGTGGTGGTGCTACTTGTTTGTATACATGATTCCGCTTGTGATGTTCGTTCTTATTTTTATCGATTCAGATATGTTATGGATCATGACAAACACAAAGCGGCTGAGTTGAGACAGGTCATTTTTCTCTCAAATATGCAGAGTGCGTCTTATCATCCAACTGTTTCATTTCATTTCATTTCCATTCATGTTTTTGTCAAGTTCGGCCGCTTCATTTCTCGCCCGTTGAATTTTTTTGTCTCATTTTTTGTTTTGTTTTGTTTTGTTTGGATAAGCATGCTTTTTGCCTCACAAAATATCAAAATATTTCGTGATTCTGTTTTAGTTCCCTTTAATACGTTTTTAGTCCCTACATTTTAACATAAAACCACATCACTTTTGGTAAGTGTAGCAACTAAAAATCTATTAATTTTTTTATTAGAACTAATAGCAAATTTTTGAGATATTTGGAAGAACCAAAAACATTTTACCGCCTTAATTTTATTTATTTATTTATTTTTTCTGGTAATCATATACAGTTTGCTAGTGTGCAGAGCTATGCAATTCTATTGCGATATTCAGCATTCGAGCTTAATTGAATTTACTTTAGCTTGGTCATCACTCTGCTTGTTTCAATTTGAAATAGGTTCTGAAACCAAAACTCAAAAAGTTAACGCAAAAGTTCTGTATTCTCGTTTTCGGACAAATGTTCCTTGTAGGCATTTTATAAGAACTTGGTAATAAGAGCTTTTGAAAAACTGACAGTTGGCTTTCCAATCATTAACATAGTCGCAACAAATGCAAAGGATGAGTGAGATACAATGGCATTTAGTTATTGTTTATCTGCTTTGTACATGAAAAATATTTCAGATTCATCTATGAAATTTCCAGCATTTTTATTTTACAAAAATTTGACTTTGAATATTATGTAAGGCTCAGCACATATTTTTCACTGGCTCTTGTTTTCAATTCCTGAAGTAGGACTTGAGTAACTTCTCTGGTAGATCTCCATATTTTGTCATCATTTCATCATACATTCATAGGTCCCTATATTATGGTCCATCAAGTTCCATGCTGTGCCACTCAATGCTTTCCGTCAAATTACTTGCAACTAAAACCTTGTCACTGCTAAATCTTGACTTTTAGATATGAAATTACATAGTCTATCATTTAAGAATTACCAGTGAAGTGGAATTTTTATTCCCTTGTATTGCCTAATATCTTTATATTCTAAGCATGTTATGTTATTGACATTATTTCTTACATATTTTGACTTAATATTTTTGTGCTATTTGACATGCTAAAGGTTATAGCCGCAACAGTAGCAAGTGATCCAGAGAAATACAGTGAAGCGTTTCTTGGGAAGCCAAATGCAGAGTATTGTAATTGGATTCTTGACTCGGAGAAGTGGGGAGGTTAGTTGGCTTATGTTTTCCTAATCAATGTTTTTTTTTTAAATATAAAAGAATAATGGAGATATTGGCCATTTTTACTCTGCAATTTTGAACTGCTTCTTTTGGTGGCCAATGTATGAATGTAAAACCTCAAGTGTGGAGAATTCATTTTTATTTGGAACTTGGAAGGTAATGAAACTTGCCCTAAGTGAGGTTGATTTAACATCTATAGTTTTAACTTCTTTGTCTTTTAAGAAACTTTGCTAACATAAATATATTACAAAGTATATAAGAGTAAAATAGATTATTTTCCTGAAACATTAAGAGGCATAAAAATTTAATTAAATTTTTGAAGAAAAAAAATAAACATCTTGATGACTAGACAATCTTCTGCTACAATTGGAAATTGTTTAAATTTCAGTTTTGTTTCTAAAAGTAGGCTCCTGATTTAAATTTTGTGGGTATGGATTCTGTAGTTGTTGAGTTTGACATGGGTTTCAAAGGGTATCTCAAACTCTCGTAGCAGCAAATTTAACAATAAAGCAATGTTATTTTGTTACTTTGATGTGCTAATTAATCTCTATGTTCCTTTGTGAAGGTGCAATTGAACTTTCGATATTAGCAGATTATTATGGACGTGAAATTGCAGCATATGATATCCAGACAACCCGATGTGATTTGTATGGTCAGGTAAGCCACTTGTATGCATTCTATATGGCATATTATATGCTTCCTAGTTTTGCAATCTCTTATGACTGAACTTTTCTATTCTCATTTTGGGTGAATACTTTTGACAGGGAAGTAACTATTCTGAAAGAGTAATATTGATTTACGATGGTCTCCACTATGATGCATTAGTGGTGAGTAATTTTATATGCTATAAATTATTAATCTTCCATTCCTTCTCTTTCATGCATTGTTTTGTGTCAATTGGGAGGTGAATTGTGAGATTTCAAGTATATGGTATTTATTTTTATCTACTACACATGAAACAATAAAAAAAATACAAATTAAGGTTCATATGTATTTTTACATTTTCATGTTGCCTGATCTTTAATCACACCTTGCATAAGTCAGATGTCTCCCTTTGAGGAAGCTCCTGAGGAGTTCGATCAGACCATATTTGCTGTACAGAAAAACAGAAGCATTGGACCTATTGAGGGGCTTGCTCTAAATTTTGTGAAGGACCAGCAGAGGTAATTTGCAATTCCTCTTTAACCTTAAATAAAGAGAGACAAGATTAGCATACTTAGAACGATTGAATTTCATTAATCTTCATATTTGGATTCTCTATATTTATCAGATTTGTTGTGAATATGCGTAAAAGTTTTTTCTTGGACATGCATGTTTTCACTTTCAGAGGACTTGGGATGCATTTGGAATTGGATTACAGAAATATTTTCTACTTTCAGTAATAATTTCAAAAATATCACCCCAATTCTTTATTTATGTGCAAATATTTACAAACAAAAAATAAAGTGAAAACAATGTGACATTTTGTAATTATCTGTGTAAATAGAAGACATTTTTGCAAATCCAATGCACCTTTATTTTTTTAATTTAGAACAAGAGCAAAGTAGTGAATGTGCTGCCGAACATTAGAACTGTATATACATAGACTGATGAGTTGAAAAGCTGAAAATTGCCAATTTCTATTGTCAAATCACGCGGGTGAAATCATGCACATTTTTTAAGTGAAAGTGCAAAGTTTGACTACGGGTGTGTTTGAAAACCAATTGAGTTCAATTTAACTGGAATTGAAAAAAAAATTATACTCACAAACTTTTACTTTTTCTACATTTGAACGTAGGTTTTTCTATTGAATGTGGTTTTAAACTGATATTTAAACATGCATTATGTGTCTGTCGGTGGGAACATATATTTTGACCCTGCGATAGTAGAAAGGGAAGTTATTTTGTTTTATCTTGCGTGATCTGATTCTTTTTTAATCTTCTCAATTTTATTTGGACATAGTTTTGAGTATCCTCTCGTAATGATTTCTGCTACACAATATCCTTGCAATTTATGCAATATGCCCATGCTAATATCATGGCTACACTTTCTCAGGAAACGGAGTTACACCGACACTTCCAACTTCACTCTGCGCTGTGGGGTGTGCCAAATTGGAGTAGTTGGTCAAAAGGTGATTCCGCAGTATCTGATGCTTTGCTTTATGTTAGATGTGCTACTTGCCCACCTTAACCTAATCTCTTCTTTGTTATGATTCTGAGTTCTGGTTTTTGTGTGAACATTTCAGGAGGCGGTGGAGCATGCACAAGCTACTGGTCATGTTAACTTCCAAGAGTATAGATGATACTCTCTTATTTGAATGAGACTAAGTTTTATGTGTATTTTCCGTTGATTTGAACGAGCATCATTGGTGAATGGAAGTTGCTTTGTTGCAGACCTTCAACGTCTTTTTAATTTTACTCAAAGTGACTAAACTGAACAATTTCTGCATGAGAAGAATTGTTGTGCCAACTTGTGCTGTAATAATAGTTCCTTCCCTTGCTCTCCTTCCTTAATGATTCTGATCATAAGAAATCCACCTCCACCGGCACACTAGACAGTGAAACTAATTCGTAACCATTTTTTCCCAGTAAAGATTTTTGTCAAATATAATTTACTTGTTATTTGTTAATTTGAATTAATGAAATAAAATATTAAATAATTTTTAATTTTTTTAAAAAAATTTGTATATTTAATCTGTATATTAAGAATTTTAAATTTAATAATTAGATTGTTGAGATTTAATATAGTTCATAAATTATTGAGTAAGTAAACATATTTTTTTCTCATATATATATATATATATATATATTATTCCCTTTAATGATAGTATATAGTGCCTCGCAAAAGAAATTTACAAATATTTGTTCTAGCCGTAAAGCTCGTTTGTTGAATCATGAATTTCAAATTTTTTTTATACTGGGAGAAAATATGAATTTTTTATTAATAAAAGAATGAAAAATGAATTTGTGAGTTCATTGTATATCTTTTTTAAACGGAAGGTACCAATATCTACGGATTTTTAGAGTACAGGTTATCTGTAAGGATTTTTTTTAGTTCGTAAAAATTAATTTCCTTATTTTGTCTTCACTGATTTTGTTAATACATCAGATTGTCTTCACTGATTATTAGTATTATATACAAGCAATAGCAGAAAAGAGTTAAGATTTAACAATAACCAAACTTAATAAATAAGGGTAATTTTTATTTTTATTTTTACTTACTTGAGACTTTTTCTTATTATCTTTCTCTCTAAAACAAGAAGAAAGAATATTTGAGTGCGTCTTACCATTTGATTTCTTTCCCTTTTTAATCTCATGCTGACATGCTCCCAAAACTTATAATAAAAGGTATAATTTTGGTAATCGTCTCCTGTGGTTAGCCTATTCAGAGATACAAATTCACACTTCACTAAATACTTTCTTCCAAAAGTAATTTTTCTATTTTTTTTTCAAAAAAAAAAAAAGAAGTAACTTTTCTATCTTTCTACGATGTCTTGTTCGATAACAAAAGCAAATATTTTATGATCTTCATCCTTGATGCACTTCACTTTATCCAAATCTCGACTTTTCACTCTCTAATTTTAGCAAAGCCTGTTTGCTGTAAATAAAAATAAAAATTAGCAAAGCTTGTAGAGTGTAGATAGTTTTATTTCCACTTTTGGTGCCAATCGCCTATGGCTTGGCATAATTTACCAAAAGCTTTTATTCTGCCTAATTACCCTTTGCTGCTTCTCTTGACTACCTTATTTGCTAATTTTCAGCATTTTTATAACCTAAGCATCGTGCTTTAATTTTTTTTTTCTTTTTAACCTTAACTTTATGTTGTGCACTTACATTCCATCCCTAACATGTTTTATCCTCAAGTGCCCAACCTCTTGATTTTTTAAATGTCTTTTTTCTATTTTTCTAATCTTTTCTCACATCTTTCCGTACTTATCATTTGTTCTTGTGTGTCTCTTGTATTTTTTTTTTTATAAGATAATTGTATCTCATGTGAGAAATATTTGATGTACAAAGAGACTAATAAATAAATAATTAAATAGTTAGAGACTAAATCATAAATAGATTTAATGAAGTAATTTTAAGAATAATTATAATTTGATGGAAATAACGATCTTTAATAGTTACAAATATCTACTGATGTGAAACAAGGTTCATACTCATAACAGAATTTATTCTCTGAAATCATAAAAAGAGTAGAAAAAAGAGTTAAAGAGAGTGAAACTTTGGTCCTCTTCTCAAGAAGATCAAAATACTTTAAGGATCAAAGAAAATTTTCATTATAAAAAAAATACATAATATTTTTTATTATTATATGAGTATTATGAATTTCAAAGATCCTTTTAATTTTTTATAATTGATGTATTAGAAAATTTATAAAACTTACATCCTCCACTTGATCCTTGAAATCCTATCATGACTTTTTCTATTTACTCTTTTCCTAACTCTTACACATCCATGACTACGAGACAGTGTTGGGTACTCAAACAATCCTCAAGCATCACTTTGCAGTTCATGCAAAGTTTTCTGTATAATTTCCTTAAAAAAATCAATTCAAGAACTAGCCACACTACTTTTGTAGGGGATAAGATGTCCCTCCCTCTTCCTAAAACAAGTACAGGTTAAATTAGTTTACCCTCTCTTTTTTCTTCTCCTTGGTCATAACTCATAACCCCTAAGTGAGCCTCATATCCTCTAGATGACTTCCCAACATGACAATTTAGATCTCATCTTAGGAAAGTCTTCCTCAAATGGTGTTCCTTAGGCCAAAACTTCTAAATACTCTCAACATTTTATTTTGTGGTGCTCTTCTAACTCTATTGAGATGCATAACCACAAATCACAGTGAGAGTTTCCCTTTTCACTGCAAGCTTTAAAGCTTTGATCTTATCTCTTAATCTTTGTAACATTCACAACATTTCTCTTGATCATTTTTTTTTAAAAGGTTTCATACCCATACCTTTATGGCGATTCCTTGCGTGCCCTTTGTGAGTAGAGGGTTTTGGTGCCTTCTGTACGGACAGCGAATCAGGTGATGCCACGTTTCCTTTACTCCATGTCATCCAGCGTGTTGAAAGTTTGACTAGAAATTGGGTAATTGGATCTAATCCGCCCCTGCACCATGATCCAACAAACCAACCCGGGTCCCTAGAATCATTTTGAAAATTTGGATTCTAGGGGATCAATTCCGACGAGGAAAATGTCATGTCCTTATAAATTGAATTGGGAGAATGGGTATCAAAGCACACCACCCTCAACGCTGACAACGCCGGCGGCAGCCTCATCCTCCGCGCCTCC